GGGTAAATTTTAACAAAAATCGAAATTGTATAAAATGCATCTTAATATACATTTTAGATTTTCAGACTTCAATTTTAAAGGTATAATTTTATAACTGATTTTCGATAAAGTTTTTTTTTATCGTTAACAAAAATAAAAAATTTGAAGTCTCTAGCTTTTATATCTTCTGAGCTCGACGCATTCATACATTCGGGCAGGGCTAAATCGACTCAGCTCGTCGCCCTGATCAAGAATATATATACTTTGTGGGGTCTGCCACGCCTCCTTCTGCCTGCTACATAAATTGCAATAAAACCAATATACCATGATTTCCCATTTTAAATATAAAAAAATGTTTGTTCTGAAACCTCAATTACCATCAGCTTATGTGCGCGATCAAACGTCGAGTGCATTACAATACCTTTTTGTTCCAGTTGACAGCACTGACCAGCACCAACGGCTACATGAGAGTGAATGTGTATTTGTATTCAATATTATATTATGCATGTTGGCCAGCGTTTGTTTGTAAGCGCTTTTGTGTATTGTTTTGGCCTGCACTTTGATATTTTCCATTACGTCTATATGTGTACCGCCAAATGTGTTTCGCTTGAAAATGCAAGCATTCACACAATAGCAAAAATTACAAATGTGTTTTAGATAAATTGATTTTATTACTTGTATTTTGGATTTAACCGTCCCGCGTAAGCTACCAACTAAATAACAGAACAATCGACTTTAGAAACATAAATAAAGGTTGCCTGATATTCAAAAAGAAAATGGCAGCAGGTGTAGTTTCGCACAAGTAAAGCTAGGAATGGGTGAGAAGGCCGTGCGGAAGGGGTGGAGAAAATTAAGGTACGGGAATCGCGGGAAGGACTTTTTAAAACTTATGCACCAAAAAGGGCGTCATAAATAGCTCATTTGCTTATATTTTTTGTGCTTTGATATTTTTTAACTATTATGTTTAATTAAAAGCGATGCGTCGCACTTACTTTGTAATGTTTAATCAATCCATTTACACTATGGCCCGTCTGTGTGAGGGTATTTTTTGTTTACGTGCGCGTGTATTCGTTTATAATTTGTTTGTCCGTGTGTGTTTTGATTTCAATCTATTAAATCCAAACACAACACGAGCACGAACACGAACTCTGCAAATGATTTTATATCAGCTGTGTGTGGTATGTGCGTGTGTGTGTTTGTTTGTTCTGGCAGCAGCAGCGACAAAACAAAAGCTATTAGTGTCCAGTTTTATATTTTCCTTCTGTCCCTTTTTACTCATTCAGTGTTATTCCCACCTTATTATTTTAGTTTCCCATACACTTTTTTATATATTTTATCGTATTACTTTTGACTTTTTCTTTACTTTATCAGTTTTTGTTGCGTATCAAAAAAATCAGAGCGGTGCAAAAACTGCTCAGAAAACTCACGCGATATGCCTAATATTTAAATACGTTGCGTTTGTTTTTGTTTTTTTTTTTTTTTTTTATTAAGTTGTTGGGCTTTTTGCTGTTTCCTTTTCACCTTAATCTATTTCTTTGTCTATCATAATTGCGTTGTTGTTGTTGTGAGTGGTCGCTGCTATGGATGTTGTTGTTGGCAGTTATATTTCGCGTTAAATTTTTTGCCATTTACACGTAGCACGGTTAGGTAATTTTTAGTTTTTATTAATACAATTAATTTCACGCATGCATATTGTTGAATTACTTAAATTTCTAATTAATTTAAATTGTATAAAAATGAAATAACGCACTTTCGTAGTTCCACCGTCTTCTTCTTCTGTTTTAATAATAACAGAGAATTACAGTAATAATAACATTAACATTTGGCAAGCTGTTATTTACATCGATCAAAATTCATGGTTTCCCTGGATTGTCCGTCAAAAGAACCCACATAATATGCTTAACTTTAATATATAATAATAATATAACTATAAGTTGACATAAAATGTCATTATAAAGTTTCAACCACAACTGGTTACTGCTTTAACTCAAAGCAAAATTATGAATTCAAATCGAGTCTTATGCTAAAAGACTATCGAAACTTTTTTTAAAATTTCATAATAGCCTGTTATCGATAATATCATAAATACATCGTGAGCGTAAATTCCATCTTTCATCATTCACTACTTACGTCCACCTCTAGAACTCAAGGAAAAGTATTCAGCCGTTCTGTTGGAAAATTTCTAACGTGTTTCATTTAAGGAAATTTTGGCAATAAAAAGTCATAATATAATTAGGTTTAAGTAGATATACAGCCGTGCTAATGATTTCGACATAAATTAAAGAAAACTGCGGAGAAATAAAAAGATACACAGGCGTCATCTGCGGATACAAAATAGGGCAACGGGCGGATAAACACTCAGAGGCACACTTACCAATCACACAAAACATTTCTATTTCATTTACTCATTCATACACACAGACCACATACACACTTTCGTTTACTCGACTTTTAATTTTATCACATGTAAATTATATATATATATAAATATATATATATATATATATATTTTTTTTTTAAATCTTTTTTCGCTTTTTGTGTTTGTATTTTACCTTACGTCCTATCTTAAAAAAAACCCTAAAAATGATCAACATTCAGACTATAGAAAATGTTGCGGACTGCACACCGCTTTATTTGCCGCACAGCTTGTACCTCAAGCCTTTGGCTAAAATGCAAATATCAGTTGCATTGCCCGAAAAAATCAAAACCGGCAAATCCGTATCGAATCTTGAGATAATGGATAAACTTAGTGCAGAGCTGAAACCAGATAAATTTCTGGTACTCAGGGTAAGCGAAAATAAGGGAATATGTATAAACCTAAACTAAAATATGTGTTTTGAATTTGCCTAGGTCTCGAAGACCACGGTAAACTACATACGCTTTGAGGCAGAGCTGGACGAACGGAAACGTTTGCGTTTGGCCATTGAGCGCCTAGATGGGATCGTATTGCGGTTGTCCGGCTTCGGTGATTCCTTTCGGGTGCGCTGCACCGAGGCCAAGGACGAGTTTCCCACCCGTCACGATTGGGACTCATACTTCCGAGATGCCCGAAACATGGATGAAATGAAAGCGGGCGAACGACCAGATACCATACATCTAACTCATTTGCCCATTCGGTGGTTCTGCCCACGACATGCGGAGCACGAAGAGCATGTAAAACCGAGCGAGAGCATCTTTAAGCGAATTTTTGAGAAATTTGGGCCTGTCCGTGCCGTTGATATACCTATTTGTGACGTATATAGAAAGAGCATGCCGCCGGATATAAGCGGGATGCGAACCTTTAGTTACGAGCAGGATGTGCTCTTCGAAGCGTGAGTATTTGCTTTATTTGCTTCACAGTATTTTATTAACTATATTACAGCTATGTCCAATTCGAGGAATACTCGAGCTTTGTGCGCGCCATGGATGAATTCCGAGGCATGAAACTGGTGCGGAAATTCGTCGACAAAACGCAAGCCATCAACATTAATGTTAACTTTGACAAACAGAAGCATTTAAGCGATTCGCATGTGCAGAGACGTGAACGTATGAGAAAACGCTGTATAGCAAAAGCCCAAGCCGAGGAAGAAGAGCTCGAGCGGGAGAAAAAAAAGCAAAAAGAGCTACAAGAACTTGAAAGGTTTGACCTCACTATTGCGTGTGTACTCGAGCAGAGAATGAATCGGAATATTAAATCTTATAGCGAACAGATTGAGATAGTTGAGCAAGAAAGAGAATAGATGTAGTTATATATTTTAATATATCTTCATTTTGCCTATTTTCATAAACTCATGAACGGTTGCATCGAATAACAATTGTAACGTTTACAACTTAGCTGCAATTCTTCGAAAAATGTTATATTTAGAATTTTTCTAATAGAGATTTAGCAAACGAAAAACTTTTTGGGTTCATGCATTGCCTAAGTAATTTCAATATATGATTGAGTAATCTAAACCCTAATAGATTCAAGTTGTAACTACATCTTCAATGGAGAAATTTTGATGAATGCCTAAAACAAGTCTCGTCAAAATTACGAATTGTATTAGATGTCATAAGTTTTCTTCCTTGCCTCTTGCTCCTTCGATACGTTCAATAAAGTTTAAAGTATTATTCTATCGGTTTCATTGCCTGTTCGACCTATCAAAGTTATTTTAAATAATATGTATAGTATATAGTCGGCCTCTTAGGCCTAGTTTGGCGAACTATATAGTTTTCTGCCTCTTCTAGACAAAACAGTAAACATGTGCTAAGCAAAAAACCAAACACAAAAAAACAAAACCAAAAAAATTTACAGGCAAAAGCAAGAGCAATTGAAATTATCGGAATTGGAAAAGCAGCGAGAGCGAGAAGAGAAACGCAAGGAGAAGCATCTGAAAAAGATACAAGAACGCGGCCAAGTGGAGATCTCCCAAAAGATACGCGTCGAAGAGCGTAAGCTGATAATAGCGCAGCGAAAACTGGAAAGCATTCGAATACTGGAGCAGGTATTCGAGCGCATACAGGTGAGTTTTGAAAAAATAACAAGATTACTAATTAAAATGGATTCCCTACAGCTGAAACAAAGGGAAAAGAAGCAGCGTGGACACCACGATGAAGAGAAAGACTTACAGCGTGGTCGTTTAGTCGAAAAGTACAAATGTGCCACGGAGAAATTGGTCTGTGACCAGCGCAAGATTGTGCAAGAAATCAAGACTAATACCCCGTTAATGGGCTTGCTCAAGAGTAAGTCCAAGAAGATTGGGACGGTCGCAGCCAGCAGCGAGGAGGAAGATTCAGCTACTACAATCAAAAAGCAGAAGCTTAACGGGAACTTTATCGGTGCAAACGCAAATGCAGGAGCAGATGCCGCTCTGTCGAATTCCAATGCAGTGCTCAACCCTTTCAAGGCAGTCACAGCTGCGTTGGCCGCCGGCGTTGTGCCGGGCCCATCTGCAGCTGCTGCTTACAATGGTGCGGCTGAGGCAGCCAGCGAATGGATGAAATCTCTTTCCATGTTCGGCTTAGGCATGCCCCCCGTTTTTCCAGGCACGGCACTTTACCGTGCACCTGGACCGTCGCCATTTGCTATGTCCAGCAATTATCGTGGATTTGCCTCGCGTGGTCGTGGCCGTGGACGCGGCCGGGGCATGCGCGGCAGTCATTCCTTCTCCTATTACAATCCTAAGCAATACGATAACGATCGATACGAAGACGATGATGGGGGCGATGGCTATTATCACAAGGTGTCGCGAGGAAGGTATGGGAGCGCTGCATACACCGTTTTATATAGCTTATATTGACGTATATTCATTTCAGAAATCGTTCACGCTCCACTTCATACTCACGTAGTCGGAGTCGCTCTCGAGGTCGTCGGTAAGTGAACAGTGATATTGCTTTATTGGTATTTATATAACATTATCGTGTGTGTTTTCTAGTCTTATTTGTCGGTCCAGACGCAGTCGGAGCCGTAGTCGTAGTTGCTCGAAATATCGGAAACCCTCCTATTCCTCGCGTTCAAGGTAGGTGCTGGATTTTATTGCTTATTGAGTAAATATAATTCTGAGTCGTTTATAGACGCAGCTACAGTCGATCACATTCGCGTAGTCGTAGCAAATCACTAGTTCAGCGTAAGAATCGAAAATTAGCCTCAACGCGACGCTCACGGTCCAGCAGCTACTCCAGTTCACGCTCCGCTTCCCGCTCTTCTCGTCGCTCTAATTCACACCGAGATCGGCGCACTAGTAATCGTTTCAAGAGTCGCAGTCGTAGTAGGAGCTGCAGTAATTCTTCGAAACGGGTCGTTTTGGAAGCTGCTAAGCTAGTGGCATCTGCAGAGCACATACAGCGCACCATTGAACAGCACACAAAGGATCGCATGCGGGAGGAGGTGCGCGAGATAAAACAAACGTTTCGGCACCAGCGTAAGAGCAACCAAAGGGACGAGGACCCGGCGCCTCTTTCAACGGATTCTGGAGGAGGATCAAAGCAAAGGACATGACAAGCGAGTTAGTCGCCGTAATATTTGCAGCTTAGACTCATCATACGATTTCAGCTAACAGAGGTCACAATGAACTAACGTGTAAATAACTATCAGCGCGACATGGCCTATTTATGCTTAAAAGTATATTGTTTTAATATAGCGTCAATTGAAATTTTACAAATATTGATTGAAAATACATCTTGCGCTCGATATAATGTGGAGGTGGACACCAACAGTTAAATTTCCCTACACTAACATTGGAAGAATCAAACATACCGTTTTTGTTAGATCGGTGCTGTTGGAAAAAAGTCTAAGCTGCACCTGCAATATGCAGTCAATTGTTTTATATTATTTCTTAATTATATATCATCGTACAAGCAAAAAATGGGCTTGTCCTTGCAGTACCGAGTAAGTTTAACAAACGTGTCCTCAGAATGTGTTTGTTAGTTGGTGTTTCCAGTAGTGGTCGAACATTAGAACCTTCTGTTGTTATTGCGGGCCCTATTCCGACCACCACCGCCACCGCCGGCGCCCCCGCCTCCACTCGAGCCGCCGTTGTTACCGCGCCGTCGACGCTGTTGCCCATTGTTGCTGCTGCTCTTTTGGAACTGATCGCGATCGCGATCCCGATCATTAAAATTGTCGCCCACGCTGTTGCCATATCCATTTTGATTGGATGGGCCGGCATTGCCATTTCCATTGTCATTGCCATAGTTAGTCCAGGGGTTAGAAGCGGCCCAGGGACTGGGGCGATTCGTGTCCTCACGCACTATTTGATCCAAGGGCGAGCCGCTGCCGTAGCTCGTGGGTTCGTCAATGAATTCGGTTTTCGGCTGCTGCGCTTTGACGGTCAGCAGAGACGGCAGAAAGGGTTTTTTCAATAGTAATAGCTCTCGCACACACACCAACTGTGCATTGTGTTGGCGTGGCTCGAAGCGAGACTTTTTGAGAGGCGGCGACACTTCGCTGCGTGCCTGTGCCCCCTCAACGGTAGGAGACAGAGATCTGGAACGCTCTCGTTCACGCTCACGCATTGGAACAACGTCGCGTAGCTCCTCCAGCTTACCGGCGTCGATGTACTTGTTCAGGTATTCGGCTCCTTGACGGATGGCGCCCATTAATCGCGAATCTGGATGCACTCGGATAAATCGTCCGTACACGAAGAGACCCACTATTGTCTGGGGATCCAGTCCATTAAGCATGCCACTGGCCAGTATTCCTTCAAGTGTGTTCTCGCTGATCTGCTGGTGCGTTAGGCCATTACTAGAGTCTTTCGACTCTCGTGCTGCCAGCTCGTCGTGTATGCTTAGCACGCTGGGGTCGTCTGCTCGCCGTGGTCCTGCCCATTGTACCTGGAAGTTACGTGGTATGGGTTTGCTGTAGGGCACTTTCTTCTCACGATCGCGGTCATTAGCCAATCTGCCGCCTGCATCCAAGTCCAATCCCGGAATAAACCCCTTGTCGGCAGTCAAACTTTCTGTGAACTCCACCTTGTCCTCGGGCCCCATACCGGGTATTACCGCATCATCTATCAAATATTCCATAGCATAATTCACCGAACGGCAGATTAATAATGTTACTTACCATATTCGCACTCATCTAACGCAGCTAAACTAGCGGGCAGAGTATTCAAATTGTACTTGTCACGCATCAGGTCTCCGGGTCGATTACGTGTCCAGAACTTTATCGTATGGTCGTTGGACCCGGAGCACAAAATGTGTCCTAACGGGTGCCATGCAAGCGTCCACACTATGCTGTCGTGTGCCGTCTCCACACAGCCGATTTCTTTGTCCGTGCTGAAAGTGTTTTCGATTTATATTAATAATATAGAATGTTACAACAGCTATACTTATAGAATAGTTCGTCTTATGACTCATCCTTGAAATATAACTCTGTTTATATAATTTTAATTCAAATTCCTTATTTAATTTACCTTTGTATTTTTTATCAATGACAAATAAAATTCTTTATGAGCATGTAAGGAAATAGTTAGGATTTGTCGTCTATCAATAACTATAAAATTCTATAATTAACTTTGAGCTGTTTTCTGGGATTGCTGTGTCTATTTGGCTAAACTACCCTATTACTAAACGCACCCAACATTCCAAAAGAGGATGGAACCATCGGAGCCGCCTGAGCAGAATAGACCCTCGTGTATTGGATGCCATGAGACAGAGCTGGCTTCCTTCTTATGTCCACGGAATACTTGCACCTCCTCGCGAAGATTACGTATGTCGAAGAGCTTCAGCAGATGGTCACGCGAGGCTGTAACCAGCCAATTGCCATTGTCATTCCATTTGAGATCCATAACAGTCGACTTGTGCGCGTGGCTAAAGGACAGCATTAAATGTAAGATGTAATCGGGATCGCTGTAATTTTACTTACAGCGTCGCCAGCGCAATACCACTTTTGGGATCCCAAATTTTAATAGGCTGTTGGTTATCTTTGCTGCCGCTAACGATCATTGCCTTCTGGGGATGCCAGTGCACGCATTTGACATCCGCACCATGACCTGTTATTAAAAGATTAATTATTACTTAGCAAGCACTAAGGATCTGCTTTACTTACCGCGTAGCACGCGCTCTTCCTGGCAACGCATAAAGTCCCAAATGCGCAGCGTTCCATCGTCGCTGCCACTGACAAACTTGCTGTCCGTGGGACTAAAACTGCGTTTCAGTTTGAGTTTTGATTTTTTTTTTAGCAGTTAGGTATTCGGAATCGGAGAGACACAGCGAGGTTAGAAAATTGAAAATCAAACACAAATATAGATATGGGTATGTATGTGCAAATCAGTAGAAAAGCCCGTAACAGTAACAGTATGGTTCTTCGCAACAGGGATGACTGCTGTCGTTCTATTTTTCTCTCTCCCTCTCTCTTTGCCTGTCCCTCAGCAGCAGCAGCGGCAGCAGCAGCAGCTGATAAAAAAACACTCAAACCCCCGTATTCGAATATAAAAATTGGTTGTTTTAAGCATTTATTTGTGTTGCTCTTATTGCCACGACGCGAAAATAAAATGGTGCAAAATTGTGTTTGGTTTTATTATCAGTTTTGCTTTTATTGTATTTTGGGTATACAACTTTGTCTTTTTTAATTTGAATTCTTTATTATTATTTTGAATATTTGGTGTGGAAAAAGTTCAAAAATTACTTATTTAATTGAATTGGTTGACAGTCTTCGATTCTTTTTTATGGTTAACGATAAAATCACATTAAATGTAGAGCTTAGGCTGAATTTCCTTTTCAGTTTCTAGCTGTATTGGAATTACAGGAATCACTGCGGGAACGATACTTGAATGCTTGCTAAACAGAACGTCGGCATTGCATACATTTTTGTTTAATTGACGGTTTTATTGTGTATAGTATGCATATGCAAGAGCACGTGAAAAGAGAAAGCGTAACGAAACCGAAAACAGCCAGCTTGTTGGAAAACAACTAACTGAAAACCAGGCAAAAAGAATGCTACAAGAATCCAAATTTGAAGAGATATGCATGCTAAACTGCAATTGCGTTTTAACTGTAAACGGGCTAATATCTGTTTGCTTGCGTCAACAGTGGCTGCGAAGTGGTAAATAACAATTACAATCATTAGGCAATACCTTATTCCCCTAATCGCCTCCTTGTGGGCCTGATACATCTTAACGTTGTTCATGTTTGATTGCCAGTACTTAACATAGCCGCCATGATCACCCGTTACCATCCAGCTGTCATTGTGTGACCAAACCATCGTTCGCACTGCAATATCGTGTGCCTATGTTTATATTGATGATATATATTTGAATAACAATACATATAATATATTAACTAACAATATTAGCACACACCTGCAGTATAGTCTCAAAGTTAAATGTCAGGCCATTCCAAAGTGTAAACTCTCCAGAACTAGCGCCCGTGACTAGTCGCCTGCCCTCTGGGGTCCACGCAAGCGTGAATATGGGGCAGCGCATTTTATTTGTGGCTGTTTTAACAAAACGAGTAGTTATTGCATTTGCTGGATTGTCCAGCGAGCTGCTGGGCGGTAGCATTTGAGGCACATAAATGCTGTCCGGCTGAAGTGCCAATCGATCTCTATAATCACGCTGCCAGAGACGTGCCTACGTAACGAGAGCATTTATTGTGATATATTTTTTCTGTCTTGCCCACTCACCTCCAGCGCTTTGATTATAGACGCATTATAGTCCACCGTTTTACGCATGACACTCTTGCGGAGTCGCTTGCCATCAAAGTCATCCTGTGACATACCAAAGGGACGTTGAAATCCTCCAGGCATAAAGGGCTTAAAATGGCTATATCCCTGCTTGCCGGATCCATGATGAGGGTGATAATGTCTGTAGTGCTGACCACCTATTGATGGCGGCGGCATCGAAGTAAAATTCGTTGCCAACGCTGATGGAGCCGTCAACAGTTGTGGTGGCGGCTGTGAAACGTCCATTACTTTTCTCCTTTTATCGGAATGGCTTTAGCTAAATTTATAGTCGCTTATTACTTTCTGCTTTTATTCAAAGAAAATTTCATGAGCACGGACTTTATTGAATGGGGTGAACCAGTTCCTCAGTTCAATTTCGATTGTTGCGGGCTGCTAGGATTTATAATTTGCAATCGCGCTGAAAAAAAAAAAAAATAAAAAAATAAGTATAAGAATTAGGTACTTTACACAATATACTACTACCTTTTTTTTATTGTCATAATATTAATTGAAATTATCAGTCATTTTTCCTAATTCGTTAAATAAAATCAACGCATACCCACATACACAGACACGCATGTGAAACGTGGGCAGGCTTCTTTTTCTCTGTTGTCGCTTGTGAGTTAATACATTAGTTGATATATTACTTACTTATTGTTCCAATAATACATGACTTATAATTATTAAATTTGTTTAAGTTAAATTATTTTCGTGAATTACTGTTTTTACTGATGCGCTCTGAATAAGATTTGTCGCACGTCAGAATAATCGAACTAACTCAAATAATGTTTATTCGATTCACGATTTTTGAAAATGAAATAATGTTAATACATATTTTATCGACTAAAAAAAATATCGAAGTAGTTTACTAAGGCATAAACAACAAATTAATAAATACAATTTATGCGAACAGCAAAATACTTTATTTTATTTTAATTGAAAACGCCGAATTAATTTTTGTAACAGAAATTGAAAAGTACTTTGTATCATCTATAATTTCCATCAATGTTTAAATTGTAGTATCGATACTTTAATGGAATATTGTAAAACATATCGCTGAAAGCTTCTTATGGACATACAACTAGTTCCTCTCTAAACCGGGCTTCGAGCTAACAACTTTTATATACATCTGCGCTTGCGTTTGTGGGCTCAGTAGGTCGTCGTCCGTTGTTGAGTTCACATTAGTATTTGAGCGTAAGCCATATTTTTAGTGAAAGCTTGATTTAAAAACTGTGGGCATCACTACCTAAATAATAAACCGTTTAAAAGTTTTGATAAAATTCAAATCTATGAGTTTGAAAAGTGTTTGTTTTTTGTTAAATGTCAACTAAATGATCATTTAATTTATCTTCAACAGCTAGTCAACGTATTGATAAAAACAACTAATTGAACTAAGCATTTAAATCAATATTGTTAAAACGGTTAACATGCAAACAGTCATTAAGTAAGTTGTTATCATACCTAGGACGTATATATAGGTATATATATATTTTTTTTTTAATGTATTTCTAATCTCATGTTCTTCTCCTATCTCTACAATTTCATTTCTCATTCGACAATTTATTAAAAAAAAGTAAATAAATAAATAAATAAAATTAAAAATAAAAACAAAACAAAATTGAACAGAAAAAGAAA